CGCCTAGCCTCCTTTTTCTCACTTTAGTTGTTGCTGTTTCCCTTCATTCGGTCAATAAACCCAGCATATGTCCCTGTAGAACTTCGAAAGCTACCGGTACCTTCCATGTAATACAAGCATGCCTGGCGCTGGAGAAATATGCTGCTTGCTTGTGAAGGAAAGGTATTGAAGGAATTGTACTCTCGATTATTTAATTTCCCTTTTTTTTTTATCTCCTTAATTTGTTGCCCTCTACAAGAAGCTTACGATACTCAGAGAACAGTGAGTGGAGGAAACAGAATCTGCATCAGTTGTGTGCATCATCGTCTTCTCTTTGTATTGGGGTGCTAATTTATGTTCACTTTTCGATGAATGTATCTGTTGGATGGTGACGCCTAACATGCAAGTGAGCTTTGAAGACAACACAGCCTAGCACAGAACTTGCAATGCATTGAAAAATCAGAATTAACATTACTGCTGATACAATGGCTGCTAAATACAGCATTCCTATGTAGCTGCAAAAACTGGAAGTGCATAGATGATGAGAAACACAAATGCCTAAGCCCCATAACATTAAGAAGATCCATTTGTTTTCCTTGGCAGTCAACTATAAATATCAACACCAGAAGTGATATCTTTGGCAGCTTGGTGGTCAGGATCCATGTGCATGTTATCAGATGAGAAATACATGAATCTGTAATAGTTTAGGCTTTCACGTTAAAGCTAGTACACTCACATAGCAACATCTGGGTCCAACCTTCTTTGAATAGCAGCCGCAGCCTATAAATGTAATGTGACTTATCAATGATAAGCTGGAGAAAAAGATAATTGAAGAGCAAAGACAAAGCAAGATTGTTTTCATCACCTCAAAATTGCCAAGCTTGTACTGGTAAGCCATCTCTTCTCTCAGCTGGGCTTGTTCTTTCATTGCTTGTGCCTATTCAAATCAAGACGATGAGACAAGCATAAATTCCTAAAGCATCTAGATTTCAACAAATAATCCATAATTAAAAAGGGAAAGGAAGCTAACCATTCCACTCTGCATAGAACGCTTCAAGGCTTCCACCTCTGCTTCCTTTTGCTTTTCACGTTCTCGCATTAGTTCTTGCCTGGAAGAAATGAATGAAAATAATTGGAAAAAAAAAACAAAAATATAAAGCTGTCATAGTTTTCAGTCAACGAAACCAACACTGGTAACAAAACTTGAAAGACAATTAATGTAATTTTTTTCTTATGCCCTGCACTTCAGCGGTTCATAACTAGTTCAAATTACCTAGTGTGGAATTACAGGTGTACTTGTTTATTTAGTTTGAGGTCCCTAGCAAAGATTAACTGATGAACTTAAAGAACTTCAAGATGCATAGCCATTTCGGGGTACTTTTACAACAGAGTAAAACATACAAAACATATTTACAGGTATAAAATCAGCCAAATTAAACCAGATTAAACCATTAGCTCACAAAACACAAAAATTAACATTCTATGGCAAATCTCCACATTTTCAAACTCTAAAGAGAGAGTGAGAAGTGAGGAAAGATAACAGGTGACCAAGAAGGACTCTTGGAATCAAGGTTAACAACAACGAGAAAGAACAGGGAATGATGCATGTGTATGGAAAATTGATTCTTACAAGGATAGCAGCAGCAAGTATGGCAGTATATAAATCAAATAGCATTTAGATGTAACAAGCTACGAAAACTGCAACAAAACTGGAATACCAGATCCCTTTAAATTTATTAGACCGAGATTGCGAAGAGTGACATACCGACGCTGTTCTTCATCATTAAATACAGTACGCTCTGATGCCATGACCTTCTTGAAACCTTTCTTCATTTCCTTTTCCATTTTATGTTGGTAATAAGCATCAAGGTTATAATATCTGAAACCACAAAAATGGAGCAATTCTTTGTAAAATCTAACTAATATAATAACAGTTTCTCATGGTTTTAACTGAATTTAAGTTAGCAGCAGGGATAGACCATTTGCCAATCCCACCCAGTCCTTTTCCTTTTTACCTAGTACCGTTATTGCCCTTGTATTATTTTCATAATGAAACATTCAAAGTTCCTTTCAAGGAGTAACACAACTGAAGAGAGTGTATAAGCATCCATGTGATATCAGAAAAGATACATACTTTTTGGACGGAAAAGTTGCCGTGTTATGATCCTCCATGAATCTGTAAAATCATTGACGCTAAGAAATTAAGACAGTACTCAAAATTCAGTTGGAAAGTTGCACCAAAGCTGCATACTAAGCTATATTTCATCAGTTGTTTCTCTGATGAAAGAAATGCATGGAATCAAGAATTTTTTATGTACTCACTGTTTGAACATTTGCTTCTCTTCCCAGTTTGGCAGGCTTTCTAGATTCACCTTCAAAGAGATCCAAACAATTATAAACAGAAGTAGGATAAACAGAAAATAAAGAATTCAACAGAATTAACATCATTAATTTCAAGTTTCAATCCATCCCCACCTGCCTATAAAATCCCCTCCCCCCCCCCCCAAAAAAAAAAAAAAAGCAAAAAAAAAAAAAGATAATATATATAAAACATAGCATGGGTTAATAGAAAAACCATAAAACAAATACCTGTTTCACTTCTGCCAACCATGCAGTGAACTCTGGTCGTTTATTCCTACAAAATAGAGATTAATATATAAGATCAGTGGAGTATAGTTATGCAAAAGAAGGATAGAATCTAAAGGAAGTATAGAATTTATCAGACAATATGATTTGACAGGAAAATGGAAGTGGTATTGAAACAAGTTTAATAAAATCACAGCAACCTCAAACTCTGAATGAAGCTTAAGAAACAGCATAACATGTGAAGCAACATGGAAGATGAATCAAGTAAACATTCTTAACATGTCAACAACACGGAAGATGAATCGAGGAAACATTCTTAACATATCAATTTACACCCACCCACTAATTTAGCATTCGCAAGAACCTAGGTCTCTTATGTTTGTCTAACCTAATTTATTAAATGGAGTGTGAACGTTTGAAAATAAGGTTGACCCAACGGAAAATTCGTAATTCCCAACCAATGGTTTATGCACAAGATGAAAGATTCAGAAACAGGGGTTACAAAACCTAGAATCCAATCAACTTTGAAGTACAAATCCTCATGTGACAAAAAGCCAAATCACTCAACTCTATTAGACCCAGATTCTTGTACAGATTAAGTAAAAAAGTAAAGTCCAAGATTTTCAAAATGAAGGTTTTGTATTTAACATTACCAAAATAACTGTTGGACATCAAATATTCAAACTTCAACATATTCCCTTAACTGAATTTACCAAAATAACTGAAGTACAAATCCTCATGTGACTAAAAGCCAAATCACTCAACTCTATTAGACCTAGATGCTTGTACAGATCAAGTTAAAAAGTAAAGTCCAAGATTTTCAAAATGAAGGTTTTGTATTTAACATTACCAAAATAACTGTTGGATATCAAATATTCAAACTTCAACATATTCCCTTAACTGAATTTGCCATCAATAAAACAAATGAGCAGCATAAAATATGCATAGCTTTCACAATCTCGTAACAAAAAAGCGTCAATGACAAAATTTCTACTGCATATTTATTAGCCAATCCCTTCCAGCAGACCAAAATCTCGACATATGATGATGCAAAAACATAAACAGCTCAATTCTATAGGCCTCAATATGACCCTGATACTAAGTTACCGTGATTTCAGGTTCTCATTTCCACTACTTTTCCTTAACATAATTTTGTCCAAGGCACCCAAACAAGCAAAGAGAAAAAACCAAGATAAGGAAGGAAAAGTAGTAAAATTTGTAGAGCGAGCTAGCAAGCAAGCCCAAACTCTCAATTCATTGAAGAAGAAAAAGAAAATGGAATACTGAAAATTCCAACTCAATAGACCTACACATCCTACCTCCACTAACTTGCTACAATGATCTAATTTCCCATTTCCAAACCCTAAAATTATTATTATTCAAATTTCATCTACTTTTACACACACAACACTTAATAATAATGCATCTTCAAAATTACAAAAAAAAAAAAAAAACATTTTTTAACTAAAGAAAGGAAAAAAAAATAAAAAAACCATACCACATATCAGTTTCTCTAATAATCCCATACTTGCCCCATGAATTGGTAACTGCTCCCTTTTTCCCTTTCTCCTTCTTTTTCTTTGCTTTCTCCTTCCTTTCCCTCTTCTTTTCTTTCTCTCTTTTCCTCCTTTTCCTTTCCCTCTCTTCCTCTCTTTCCCTTCTTTTCCTCTCCTTCCTCTTCCTTCTCCTCCTCTCCGATTCTTCACTCTCACTCGAATAATCCGACTCTGATTCCAACTCCGAATCTGAGCTTCTTCTACTTCTGTTCCGTTTCCGTGACTTTCGCTTCGATTTTCTGCGTTTGGTGTCTTCGTATTCTGACTCCGACTCGGAATCGGTGCTATCTCGCGATCTCCTCCTTCTATGTGATTCGGATTCGGAATTTTGTTTTCGAGACTTGTCTTTTGATTTTCCGCTGCTTTCTAAGACGTCGCCACCTTTATCCGACGCGGTGCCATTTTCATCTGTGGCCATTTTTTTCTCCTCTCGTGGGTTTTAGGTTCTGTGGAAGATAAGTGAGATTTATAAAGTAGATTATGGTTGAGTGAGCTCGAGCTAGATAGTGCCCTGTTTGGATTCTAGTTAAAATTAGAAGACCGGAAAAAACTTTGAACCCCTACAGCGTGTAGTTCCAACCCAACAATTTGTTTTTTTTCTTCGACCAAAAAAAAAAAAGGCAAAAGGAAAGTGGGCCTACACCAATACTGAAAACTTATAAAAGCCCATTTCATTGTGGGTGTTGTTTTTATTTATCAATTGTTTTTAAAATTATTTTTATTTAGAAATATATTAAAATAATATTTTTTATTTTAAAATTTTTATTTTTATATTATAAAAACATTAAAAAAATATTTAAATTTTCATAATATTTAGAACGCAATTCTAAACAAAGTAAAACCATGAAAAAATTAGATAAGTGTTTGTGGGGATCAACATTTTTTACTGCTAATTACTTTCAATATTTAACAAAATAATTTCCCAATGATTAATTTTGAGGGGAAGGCAAATGATTCAAATATTTCTCCATACAAATTTGAAAGCTGAAACTAGATTGTCGAAGAATCTGAACGCCCTTTTCACTAATTGGTTGAATGTGCACATGCACCTTGGCTGGATTTGGCAGCATCTAGTCTAAGAATTTGGGGAGAACCAGTAAAATCGAGCGACTCAATCGTTATACTTGCTGTCTTGAACTAAGAATTGTCTTTGTTTCCTCATCTTCATCTATATTATCAGCAGTTTTCATGCTCTCTAAAAGTCCAGCCACTTCTTTCCCACATCTGATATACGACTTGATGAGAGCATGATACATTTCCCTACTTTTTGGGACCCTAGTCTCCAACAAGCCCACAAACGCTTCTACTTCTTGAGCGTCCCCGTTATCACCAAGCCAATTCAATATGTTGGATATCATTGCAGGTTTCGGTCTCCACCCTTTATTTTCGGTATCTGCTGCCAGAGCTTCTTTCATGCATTCAAGAGCCTTTTCCATATTCTGCTTATCCATATACCCTGCTGAAATAATAGACCAACTACTTGGATTTTTCATCTTTTGTTTTTCTATTATGTCTTGAAGCATTGCCTCGGCTTTTTCAGGTAAACCTTTCCTAGAATACCCGATGAGGACGACATTTGGAACTCGAAAATCATAATATTGGCAAGACGATTCCCAGTCCTGCAGCAATTTCTCAGCTTCTTCAAGGTGACCAAGCTTTACTAGAGATCCTAAGATGGTTATATAATCTCTATTGAGTTGTTTCTTGCAGTTGGCTTTTGCAAGCTCCCACAACCTCATCATCTCATCCTTGTTCCCAAGACTTGCATAGAGCGAAATCAAATGATTGTAGCCTAGTGCATTTTTATTAACCTTCTCTTCACATTTTTTCAAGTAGACAAGTGCTTTCTCTTTCAGACCTGCTTCTAGATAGATATTGGCTACTGTAGCAAATGTTCTCCAGTCCATGGAGATATGTGACTGGCTCTCCATTTCTCGTAGAATTTTCTCCACATTATCAAAGTCAGATCTTTCCCCATAAGATTTCAAGCAAATTCTGTAGCTGAAAAGGTCAGGGGAAATGCCATTCTCCTTCATATCTGAAAGCACATCAGGAACTTTCTCTAGCAGGCCAGTGTTCACATAGAGGCACATGAGATCATTGTAGTTCAAAGCAGTGGAAACAAAACCCAGCTCCTTCATCTTCTGCACATGGGAAAGGGACTTTTCAACAAGACCACTTCTGACATAACAGTTCAAAAGAGCGCCATATGTTTTGTGAATTTTATCCTTTTCATCCAAATTTTTGAAGTAGCTCTCAGCAGATTCCAGTCCATGAACTTTGCCAATCAGATCCAGCCGCACAGCATGGTCAGATGGTGAGAAATTGCAGAGCCTGTTGCTACTCATCCACTGAGAAACCTGCACAGACCAGGATCCAAACAAAAAATATTAAGAGATGTTGAACCTTATACCTGAAAGTGCCAGTCAAGATTCAGACATTACCTGGCGCTAAGAAAAATTTAGCATTCAGGTCTTCGATACAAGAGATATGTTCAGATATTGGCATAATAATATGTTACAGCAAGGGTTTGAGAAATTGAATGACTATGAGATGAAAAGAAAAGGAATGCGGAGCACTTCAAAAGTTCCTCTTTTCCCTATGTTTAATAGTGATTGTTCGTAAGAGGCACAATAATTCCAACACACAGGACATTGGTATATGGTACACAGATTCACAAGAGAGGTTCAAAGCATCAACTAAATAAAACTACAATGTATATACAAACGCAGTAGTTATATGACTACTTTTAAACAATTTCTTATCTAAGAAATTTCAGTACCACTAAGACTAGCTCCATGAGGATAAATCCCTCTATTTCCCATGCATCAGATAGAAAAAAACTCCAGTAATGCAAAAGATTAATACAACACTTGGTTTAGCAATGATTCACCAAATAGATTCAAAATTGAAGCCTGATCTGCAAACAAGAACACGATAAACAAATTATGTCACACCTGGATGGTTGCTTAGAATTCTTACATCAGTTCATCAGGATCTGTACAATTCCCCTCATTTGATGGAGAAATATCATGCATGGGCTTAACAAAGAGGTCATGGGTTGAAAATCTGAGAACAGCCAATTCATACAAAAAATGCTGGAATGGTATGACTTTCTCGCGCTCTAATTCCTAAGATCCAATTTCAGCAGGAAGTAACTGAGTAATGGCGTTTCTAAGAATACTAAGGCCTGTCATTCACGAATCTTGGTGACTTGTTAGTATTGAACTTTAATGAGATTAACAAAATTACAAACACTTACGGCAAAAAAAGGTAGCTCCACGACAGCTATTATAAAGGAAGCAAAATTGAATATATTTTCTTTATTTCATCTTAAATCCACTCTCTTGATTTTGATTTAACATCATTATCGCTAGTCTCAAGGAATAAACCGGCATTAGATATCATACTGAGCTTCCCCTTTTCACTTTCCACGCTTCTAGAGAAAACATAAGCCTTAATTAAAAACAAGGCCAAATGAGCCATCACTCGTGTTGTTCAATTCCAGAAAACTCCTCCTCCCAAGTTCCAACTTAACGAAATTCAACTTGTTATTTGTCCATTCATTTATTGAGAGCAATACAAGAAGTTAAAAGCTCCCTGATCCTAATCAAATGAACCCAACAAGCATGAAAAACACAAACAAATATTTCAGTTTTTCTTTACATTTTCCCATTAGCAAATACAACTTCAGACATAATTAAAAAAGTAGCACCAAGTACCGAAATTCAGTAAACATTATCCATTTCTACAATACAAAACACAATCCAACACAAAACAAAACCTACATTTATTTTCCTCTCCTTCCCCCAAGTTTCTCATCAATCAAACAAGGGTTTTGGTTGCAGACTATCAAAATCAAGTCACTCATTGGCCACTAACCTCAAGAGCTTGTTTAAAGCGTTTGCGTTCACGAAGGCCTTTAACAATTGTTCGAAGCTCGTAGTCTTTAACTTTCTTGCCCTCTTCAACCCACTGCTCAAGCACTGGAGCCAAACTGATGCGTGGGTCACCAAGTGGACTGATTCTAGAATAAAGGTTGTTCCTTTGAGTTGATGCCTTTCTGACGTATGATCTTCTCATGATTGCATTTGCTACCAGGTTTTGGGTTCTGTTTACAAGAGAAGAGAATAGCGCTGCCATTTAGGGAAATCGAGAATTCAGTGATTACAGTGAAGGAAGAGAGTGGATAGCAGTTTTTCTGGGTTAACTGAAGGATTTGGAAGAGGAACTTAGGATTAGGGTTTTAGAGGGGTTTAAGCAGGTGGGAAGCTCACTCCTCTTAGGACTTCGAGCCTAATTATAAAATTATCGAACCCGACTCGCCTTTGATCTGGTAGAGTTCTGGTTGGCATCATGTTTTTTTTTAAAAAAAAATAATATATTTCGGTTTCAGGATGTTAAATATAATTTAAAAATTTAAAAATTTTTAAAATTTAATTACAAAGTGCGTGAAAACTTTGCTTGAGGATTACTATTTGTTCTCAAATCAAATCAAATTAAATTTAGTTTATATATTTTATTGTAAACTTTTAAAGTTTAGATATTGAACTTTTTAGGTTTTTTAGTATTATAAAAAATAATAATATAATTTTCTCTATTAAAATAGTAATTATTATAATAATAATATTTGCGAAGAAACGTATCTATTTCTTAAATATAAGACATATAATGATATTTGTTTTATATAATAATAACCAAATATATTTTTTTATTAAAATTTTCTGAGAAAGTGCAAATTATAAAACACCTAATAAATTTATAATATAAAATTTATAAATTAAATAACCATAAAATCAATTAAATAAACAACTAAACAAAATATTAAGATTAATATAAAGATTTAGGTTTAAGATTGTTTGGATTAATCAATTTCAATCGTTTAAACTGAGGCTCTATAGCTATAGCATACTAACTAATAATAATCAAAGTAAAGCTTAAATATGTAACAAATTAATTTTAATTTTCTAGCATGAACAAACATCACTTGTCAGCACCACGAAATTTCTCTCTATTTTTCTTTTTCTTTTTTTTTTTAACTCTACTTTTGTTTACAACAGACCTTTGTAAAACATTTTTTTGAATTAAATAGGATGATTTAAATATGATTATATTATATAATTATTAATTTTAAAGCTTATAGAATTAACCGACAGTAAAATGCATGTAATGCTTATAGTCTGCCACGTGATTCAAATTAATATGATAATGATACTATTCATTTTCTAAAATTGGACTTTTTGTAGAGAATTTTAATTTAACTCTTTTGTGTATCTTTCATATGAATGAGTTCATAAAGTAATGTTTTGTAGATATCATATGAATGAGTTCATAAAGTAATGTTTCGTAGATAGGATAATTGTTGTTTTTTAAAATATTTTTTTTGTTGAAAAATATATTAAAATAATATATTTTTATTTTTAAAAATTTATTTTTGATATTAATATATCAAAATAATTTAAAATTACATATAAAAAATAATTTAAAGAAAAAATTTAAAAATCTTCAAAATATTTTTATAACATAAAAATAAATTAACCAGTAAATAATAACTTTTGATTCAAGGGGGATTATTCCTTTTTTTCAGGAACACTGAGGAATAACCATTAATGGGATGTTTTAATTTGGTTTTAATGTAGGAATTACAGCCTAGCTAACTAAAAATTAAAAGGTGTTGGTAATTGATGAAGTCGTCTATTTTATGCAGGTTTGGATTGGCGGTTTAGGATTAGGATTATTATATCGGGTAATGTTTTCACTTATAAATATATTAAAATAATTTATTTTATTTTTTTTTAATTTATTTTTAATATCAATACTTCAAAACAATTAAAAAATATAAAACAAATTTTTATTTTAAAAAATTAAAATTTTTAAAAATATGATTTACATAATATTTCCAAACACTCCTATTTAAAATCCAAAAAAGTATTGAAAAAGCTTCACTTTGTTTAATTTATAGGATTCATATAATATTTCCATACACATGACATCAAAATAATATTTGCTAAATTCGGGGACTATAAATGACGGAGTTCAAAGCCCAAAACATAGCGGAGCTACAATATTTAAGGAGGGCAGGGCAATTGTTCTTGGTGTAGTTTGGAAGTAAATAAAGAAAGATGGATTTTTATCTTAGAAATAATTTTTTTAAAAGTGTTTATAATCGTGAATTTTTTTATTATGTAATAAATTAAATAAAAGTAATGATAGATGAGTTTTTGTGGTTCATTTTTTAATACTGTTACATGAATATTTATAATATTAAAAAGATTGATTTTTTATTTTATAATTAATTTTATAATTATGACTGTCAGGAAAAAATTTAATAGTAGTTATTTAATTTAATTTAAAATATAATTTTTTCTTTAATAGTTATATAATTTCTTTAATAGTTTTTATTAATAGTCATAATATTTTATTATAATATTTCAAGTTTATATAAACCTATTACTACATAGATAAAAAAAAATAAAAAAAATGCATTTTCTTTTCTTTATTTTTTATTTTATTTTTTTAGAGATTTAGAGGGCCTTACTTGTGCTTTCATAGCATATGTATGAATAATATTTATCATTTAATATATATATAATTTTATTTTTTATTGGTTAATAAATAATAGTAGATAATAGATACTTATTGAATACTTGAAATTTAATAAATAGTTTATAAATATTTAATTTTTTTTATTTAATGAATAACCAATAAATAATTTGTAAATATTTTAAAAAATTTCTCGGTAAATAATAGATAGACAGGATTAGTCTAGATTGAGAAGTAAGAGCAAGCACCTCCCAGATTTTCTTGACCAACAAATGTAATTGTAAACAGCGATACAAGATTTGGAACACTAATGACTGCTCAACTAGTTTAGTTACAGACTAATTAATTAAAGCAAATGAAAGAACCTAAGATCTAAACCAATTAAGGGATTCCAGGTAAGAAGAAAATCTTCAATAATTCATCACGCGCAATGAGGGACCTGTATAATTAAACAGACTGCAGAACTTGGAATAAGTGAAGAACTTATGGTTTAAGATTTCCGAGGGTGACATCCTAGTTTTTCTTAGAATTTACCACTCATTTCCTTCACCAATTTTGAATACCGGTTGCGTGTGATCCTGACTAGTTGATATTCAAAGGCTGTCAATTTTCCTCTCTTTAACTTTCGAACTGTAGAAATGGATCTTCAGCACTCAACAATCTAAAATACAACTCAGGAAAAATGGCAAGCCACTATAAAGAATGGCCACGATTTGTGCAAAAATGTAGAGGAAAATCTCCTAAAGAGAGTTTCCAGCAAAAACTTCACAGCGTATTGTCCCTGTAGTGTGTATGTTCATCACCTATATACAAAAGCTCTAACATAACCTGGTCAAAACAAGAGAAGACACAGAATGAAGCAGCAAAAAAGAAAGATGGACACTCTATTTAGAGATTTATCAAGCTGCATTTCCTGCCTCCTCATCCTAGGATTGTTACTTCCCATGAGAGGATTTGTGTAAGGGTGAGCAAACATATTCGTGACTGATGTACCAAAAATCCTTGAGCACCCCATCTCGTTGAACATCCCCATCATTGGATTTAAAAAACCTGTCATTACCGTACTCCCAAGGTTTGATGAGGTCATGGCCGCATAACCTCCATGAGGATCATGGAAGTATTGTTCGTGTTGAAACGACTGAGACCGTGGATTGAAAGAATTTGAATGAGGCTGCCGACTTTGACGTGAAGTATTTGTACTCGCAGTATTCAATCCCGAAGGGAGTGGCCTACGGGGTAAGGCTGCATCCACCGATGATCCCATGGATTTTGATTCTGATGAGAGCGGGCCGCGGCCATAAAGGGGAACCAATGAAGTTGGGGAAATAGGAGCCTTGCAGACTGGGCAGCTTTGCTGCTGCTGAACAGCATCAGGGGAGGAGGTTTTAACATGGAGCCATTTGTACATGCATGGCCAGCAATATAGGTGACCACAGAAGGTGACAACAGGGTCATGTGCTGAGTCTAAGCATATATTGCATTCGAAAAGGTCACTGTCATTGTCTGAGACAGATACTGGGGCTGGGATGGATTTATATTTCTGCTCGAGTCCAACAACTTCCTCAGATTCAAAATGTGCCTCGTGATCAAAGAAGTGATGTTCCATATATATCCACACGCTCTGTATTAAAAACAAGGTTTCTTAGCATATATATCAATGGAAATACTCTTAGAGAGACCATTCTGCATGTGCGCAAATTATGCGTGTGTGACAAGATGTGAGAGACACAGAAACATACAGCAAGAACCATCATCTACTGGCAGAAACAGAAGAAAAAGGAAATATTCCAGAGAAAAAAGTATCCGCTATTAGCAATAGAGTTCAATTGCCAATAGTACTCCTTCCCAGAGACCAGATATTTAAAGTTTCAAACACAGATAAGTTAAGCATCCAAATAAGCACAAGCAAATAATAAAGGGGGAGAGTTAAAGTTTCAAACAGCATAAGGCTAAAATTTTGAAGTGGAATACTTCAAAAGGAAAGAATTGGCTTGAAGTTAATCAAATGAAGAGCCATGTAAGAAGATTCCTCAACCCATCAACCATGTATGAGAAGAACAAAACTACGGGTTAGCAAATAAAGAGAGGTCAAGAGGTTGATGACTAGAACGGCAGCGGAGTAGTTTTTGTTGAGTTCACAAGAGATCAAGAGGTAGATGACTGGAACATCAGCAGAATAGTTTACGTTGAGTTCACCAATCTTACATATCTAGCACCTTAAGATCAGAGGGCCACTTGGAGCTATCTAAAACCTGTAATAAACTAATATGCTCCCAATTAGTTTCTGGTCCAAAAAATACTGAACAGTGCAACGTTTTGGGCCATGAATTACGGTCTTCTTCTACAATTAAACTGATTTCTAAAGCACTCAGATTCTTTCACATTGAAAAGTGCCAAAAGGGTAGTCACTAAATTGCTTTCAAAGACCTTTTTTTTTATCCTCTTGACATATAAAATCAAGAAGAAGTTTGACAGCCATAAAGAACCAATCATAGTTTTAAACCTTGAGATTAAGAAAAACATGAAAACTCATTATCCTTTCTATCCGAAAGCAAAAGGCTTTAATAACTTCTGGCCTAAAAAGTATTGAACAAAACCTTGAAAGAAACATACAGATAATTCCAAGAAAAAACAATTAAGCATTAGCAGCTTAATTTCTGTCATCATATCCATGCCATTGCTATAGAAAGACAATAACAAATCCGATAACATAATTTCTCTCACCATTCCAAAACACCCACAAAAAAAAAAACTACAGTTCTATCACGATTTCAAAGGAGATCAA